AAACTTGGAAAATTATTTTCCTACATAAATAAATATTTAGATTCAAAGTGCAAAATTTAAACTCTCATAACTTGTAAATTTTTATAGATAATTTTTTTTAACATTTTTTTCCTTGTTCTTGGTATAAATACCACATAAGGTCATTTTTCTCAGGGGCGCGAGTTCTGGCGCACTCTGTATCTGATTGTATCTGTATTATTGTATTTGAAATGAAAAAATTTATAACAAATTCCTAGAATCTAATCCCATTGATACAATTGTTAGAAAAAAAAAATACACTTCTCTTCCGCATCCCCACAGAAACCGAAATGGCGGAAGTCTAAATGTTTTAAAAGCAGTTTCCGTCGATAAAATGGCAGCCATTCGATGCAGTCAGTTAACTTAGCTTTTATTAGTGTGATTTATACCTTTTCCCCTAAATACGAAGGGTGGCACACTGGCACACATACATTAATTTAATAAATAATCCTGCAATAAGCTTGCTTCATCCCGGTTATAATATGAGGGGAAAGATTTGCCATGTTAACCAATGGGAAAAACGAAATAGTGTTTATTTAAACCCAAACACCGCGTATATAAATGTAACAAAGTAGATACACAGTGCGGTATTTTCAAAGGGCGACACCGGTTATGCTATATTAACTTAACTATTTGCTATTATTCGCCATTCAAGGGGTCGCCGTGAGCTCCATTCTTAGACAGGCCACCATCGTAGCTGAGTAGTAATTGATCTTGTTTCACTTTCCTTTCTGATCACTCAAGATCGAACGTAGGCTGCTACAAATATTTCATTTTTTCTCCACCACTAATAAAACCAATAAAAAAAACATCTGCATATACAAAACAGATATTTGACCTCGCTCATCCTTCACAAAACCACTCGAGCTTTCAATCAAAACTCGCATTTGTCAAAATGATGCACTCATTTTTTTCCCGTCACTATTTTAATTTGAAACCAGTGGCGTAACCGATGCGACTAGTGTTGAACAAATTTAATTTCGAAAAACACCAAAATGCAGATTTTTTCCTACACCCCTGACCGAATTAGACACGTTACTATCCCTCTGTCTCGTAAATTCATCATCAAACACGGGACGTTTCCAACACAAAAAGACTCGAGTCACTTTATAAAAACTCTCCCATACCTGAGCCAAATTAGAATTTTTGACTAGGTGAGATATTAGGTCGATTTATTTTCTATATAGAACACGACGAGTTTCGAATGTGTTATTGCGAAAGCTGCGTTTTAATTCTTTGTGAGGTCGGTTTTTTAACAGTGTATGCCCACTACTAAACGGTGTTTTTAACGTTATTTATTACCTGTTTATACCGAACGTGTTACAATTAATAAATGAGATGCCATTTGTTATAATAGTTTCCAAATTATTTAATGTACTAACCGGGAAAAAATTAATTTTAAGGATGTTATTAATGACGTGCTTCATAATTTCTCGGTTCACGCTTGTTCGGATCCACTAAACGTCGAAAAAAGAAAAGTGCCGAAAACGGAATTATTAATTGGAAGATTTTTAATTCAACAGGTAGAAAAATTTGTAGTGAAAGTTTTAGGGCCTTTGTAATAAAGATAAAGATGGTGCTACACAACTTACAAAAAGTTTATTTTAGCTATGTTATTACTAATATAAAGAGTGCTTAATCATTACTTATAGTTGTAGAAAGTAAAAAAAATGTCTTGCTTACGCAATTCACTTTTAAAGCTTAATGTCAAGTGACAGTTTATGTAGATGTAATAAACAGTGATTGAATAAAATATTTTAAAACTTTCAGAATAATTTTTATTCTGAATGGTTTTTTTTAAATCAACAAGAAATCAGTTTTTACTTGCAAATTTCTATATTTAAATTTAGCGTCCGCCATTTAATATTCTTCCTTTCTTTTAGTGGTCCTATTTTTATCAAAGCACGGAAAATGCAATTAAACGAGATATAAAACATTCACTTTTTCCATTATTAATTTTCCGCAAGTCTTCATTTAAATATTTGCGTTATAAATAGAGTAAAATGCATTTAGGAAAATTAAATTTTGTCGAGTTGTAAAAACAAAAACAAAAAAAAACATCAGTATTTCCTTAGTCGCAGCACGTTTTATTCTCTCTTAAAAGTATAATTTTAACAATTTACTTCTGATATAAATCAAGTCTAGAACAAAAGATATGATTCAGTATTATGATAAATTTGGTAATTTTTAAGCCTACAATTAAATAACGATTTGTGTTAATTAGTTTAAAACATGACTGTTAAAATTTTTGGAACTGAAGATCTTTCTTTATGTTTCTAAATGATCATTTCGTAAAAAATGCCACTCTACCTGAACGATATAAAATATTAATATGATAATAAATGCTTCAGAATCTTTGTTAGTTTGGTTTAGTTGGAAATATAAAAATTGTTTTGATGAGGGGTAAATGGTATAAAAGGTTTTTGTGAGTAATAAATACTTAGAAGGATCCATCGTAAAACCGAAAAAATTAACGGAAATATTTTCAGATTAATCACAATTTTTTTTAAATATTTTAATCATTTCATAAAATGTTGGTTATAATGTATTTCGTGACTAATTAGTAATTTCACAATAAAAGACGTTAACAAATAAAGTTTAAATACAGGGTGATTTCAATAGAGAAATTTTAAGAGGTGATAGTAGAAGACAAAAAATGCAAAAATAACTTGCCTTATCGGAATGTTTATAGTTTCAAGGGTATTGAGGGTTTTAATCATTGAATAAAGTTAAATTCGGCGCGCAGTCTTTAATTTTATAAACAAATTTGTAAACAAATATGATCTCTGAGCTTATTTCTTCAAAATCTATTGCAATGTTTAAAAAAAATAAGTCCAAATTAACAAAAACAGCCACTGAAAAAAATAAACCTCATATTAAAAAAAAATTCTACAGGATACAACCGAATATCATTACTTCAAATGTCACCGTAGACTACTGTGTACATACTACAATGTAAATTTGGAATGAAATCAAAAAATGCAGACTTCATTTATATTGCATTATTTTGACAAATTTTCTAAAGCTAAAATGCAAGTTGCACTCTCTATATTTTAGAAACTATAAATATTCTGATAAGGCAATTTGAGTTACCTATTTTAACTTTTTTCTGAACTTTTAATTTTAGCACAACTATTAAAATTACTTGGTATAAGGTTTTTACACATGTCTTAACCATTAAATTTTATTCAATAATACCCAAAATTATAATAAAAAAATAGTTTGTTAGAAACGCTTTCTCAAATGTTGAATTTATGGTGTTGTTATTGTTTTTTTGAAAATCCAAGAAACAAGAAATTTGAAAATTTTTGTTGTAAGGGATCTTAAAAAAAAAAATTTTCTAAAAATTCAGCTACCAGTTTATACGACATAGGTAAGATCTGCTAATTTGAAAATGTTATGCTAATAAACGATAAAACAAGAGATGGCGTCCGTAAAAAGCACCCGTAAAGAATGTCATCTTGTTTCCTGCGTGCTTCAGATGGAAGCAAAGACGACTTTTGTCTGTTTTGAACATCTTCAGGAATAAGTTACTCACAATTTATTTTATTTAAACTACTTCCAACTGACAGTGTAAAGGTAAAGTAACTACTGTTAAGATATAGACACCTTTATTGTAAACTTTAAGCTTGATATCATTACGTTGTGTATTACTTATGTTTTAATTTTCTCATGTTTAGTTAGGCAAAAGTAAGAATAAAGTCTTTAATTTTAAGGAAAAGCATTCAAAGTCTAAGTAAACACAAATAAATATTCAATGAAATACATTATTGTTTCATAACGTTTTTAACACTCTTAAAGTTATTACTTAAATCAAATTAGTTAAATAATATTCATTTTTTATAAAACACAAAAAAACTAATTTAGTTTGGCTGTAACCAATTTTGAAATAAAAATGCAAAATGTATGCAACCAAATATACAGATGTGTGTAAAATACACAAACAAATTATGTTGTAATGTTGATTATCAAAAAGCTTTATAATGCAATCCGTCCGTTAAAAATAAAGTTTCCTCCCTATTTCTGTCAAAAAATATTATTGATAATTTAAAACAGTTTTCTATAGATATGCTATAGCATGGACACAAACCGCAAACTATTTAAGTAGGTAGCAACATTACCGATAATTAATTTTCACAAATCTTTGTTCCCGTACGTTGTTTTTGAATACCAGCGTAATTAAACAGTTGTTTAATAATTTATGCAATTTTATAATTTAAAAACTATACAAGGCAAGTCATTTATGATACATAATAATTTAAAATACATTCTCACAGATAATTTGGCTTTTGTTGCTTGAAAAATTTTGATTATTAAATAATTTGAATCAAAGATTTTGATGATACAGGTGCCCATTTTATCTGTACTCTTCTTAAATTTCATAAATAAGTAATTAATAATACAATAATTTGTTAATTTCTTGCTGTTATTCCCATTATTATACATTTGAGTTTTGAATTTAATTGTTTTTAATGTTTTCGATAGTCAAGCACCGACTATGATTATTCAATTTAGAATAGTTAATACTTTACACCAAATAATTTATGAAATGTATATTATGTTGCCTATTTTTGCTGCTTCAGACGGGAATAGATAAAATGGGCAACCTGTATGTCATTAATTAAATTTTATAATTCCACTTTTTCCCCTTGAATTCAAAATACGAAAAAACTGACAATGATCTTGGTGAATGCTACAAAAATGCTGTGGCTATATTTAAACCGTCAAAAGTACACTGTAGTACTCCAATTTAGAAAAATTGTCAAACCTATTTTATGTTAATATCTTTGAAAAATTTCAAACAGTACATTAAATAACGCAGTAATAAGAAAATTAATTATTTAACAAAAACTCTAGCTTGCCAAATAACCTTAAGAATTGATTAATCTCACTCAGTGTACTGAACGTTTCGCAAAAAACTAAAATATGTAATTATTGTAAAAAATCGGGATAAGATGGTATAGGTAATGTGAATAATGTTGTGCCTGGACAATACAATTTATTACCAACACAAAGGAAATAGACTTACAATACAAAAGAATTGAAAACAAACATACAGATTTAACTTAATCAACAATAAAAAACACTTACTTATGCTAACGTAGTATTCAACCACGAGACATTCAGAATATTGTCTCTGCATCGGCTGAGGCCCGCAGCGATGCACCTTTATGACTAAACACCACCTGGAGTCCAGCCACTCCTCACCAACAAGTCAAAAGGACGTTGCTGCTAAACGTGGCCACCAATCCAGCATGAATTAAATATATATACTATATTTTATCTATAAACACTAACTAAAAACCGCTCTCGTGCCTCAGCCCAGGCCAGCGTTTTTTTTTCTCTCTTTCTTACTCTCTTTCTCTGCATCTCTGTGTGTTCATTCATCTTACGCCTAAACCTACAATCTAACTAGTTTTTATTTCTTTATCTTAACACTATCTAAGCTAAAGCCTAAAAACTAAACACTCTAAACTACTCTACAAGCTATTCTTAATTTAAGTGCGGACAATCCGCGTACTTTATACAGAGGCCGGAGGTGATCCCCCGACCAAGACTTATAGGTAGTCGCTGACTTCATCGTTAATACGGTCTAAAAATAGTTAAATAATACCACTTATGACAAGTGGTATCGCGGTATACCAAAAATAAACTGAGCCTATCAGTTAACAATGTAAAAATTTCTCGTATTAGTGAAAGTGTTGTCAATACAATATTTGGTTGCAGCTATTTCTCAAATATACTTTACATAGGCAATTCAGTTTGGGGGGGCGGTGGTGGGCAGGCGCAATATAACTCGTGTGTGTGGAAAAACAAGCCCCACTTGCGACAATAATCCGAATCAAATATTGTATGGTCAAGTCGCCGTGTCGTCATAAGTTTCATTCTGAACTTCTATATAAGGCATATTTAAGCACGTTTTGAGGGAGTTTTCTTCAACCCCGAAGGCCGAGAGCATATCGAAAAATCCCCAATAAGCTATTTTACACACAAACGAATTTTGGATGGAGGGCCGTTAAAGACACTCTGCAATAGCAGTGGTTACAATGTGTCTTTGCACTATACCCTGACCTCCAATCAAATCTAAATCAATAACAGAAACGAACATTACCACTGTACTACAACATAGAAACAACTAGAAGTTAAAAATTTGGTTGTCGGTTTTCATGAAAACACCGAGTTAAAAAAATATATTAAAAATATTTCAGTATATCCCTGTCAATGGACAATCTGAAAAGGCACGATTTCAATAACGTGTAAATCCATTCATGACCTGGCCTTTTGAAAGTGAAAAACTTAATTATTATTTCTTTTTTTAAATAAAAACTAACATCAGGGCTTGAAGACCAGGTAGCCTCGTCTCGATTTTCGTAAAGGCGTCACAATTGAAAAACATGACAAATACACTACGACCCAACCACTCCGAAAATTGCAAAAAAAGCGAAAAAATTACGAAATCACAGCTGTCTCAGTCGTAGCATACCTATCATCGAAATAAATAGAGTTATTAAAGTCAGTCCATTTAGGAAAGAATCCCCAATATATACTTTTTCATATAAATATAAATAAATCTAAAAAATAAAAACAAAAATTGCACTGTACAACGGGAAACTTTTCTAAATGAAATTCATAAATAATTTTCCACGTTCGGACACTGGAATGTCAATCAAGATGGTTATTAGATCCAAGTCGAAATAAAATAATGTACAAGTGCCTTCCACTCAACAAAACTACCTTTGCTGTGCAACCTTCAAATAAAAAAGAACAAAAAAAAAAAACAAATCGGCGGTTTTGACAAGTGAAAAGCTTCAATAAATTATTGAATAAAAATAAATAAGACATTATTGGAAGTTCAGTTCATATTGTATAGATGGTAGGAAGAATTATTTGATTTCAATGAGCAGTTTATCGCATCTGCGGTGCGCACACAACTACCTATGTAGATCTTCATCAAAAAATAAAATTGCTAATTTACCTAACCTATGCCGTTTTGGCTTGGGAAGATCAAATACGGTTTGCATCATTTCACTGCTGTATCTACCGTCAGACCTTTAAAAAACGATGTTTCGTCTTCTAATCTAAAAAATTCTAAATGTGTTGGTATGTTTCTCTATCCATGTAAGAAAAAAATCCGCTCGTAACATTTATGTACAACACACACTCACAAAAAGCGCGAAACTTTAACAGAAAATACCACTTTTCTTACACAGATAACCGGTTTTTCAATACAATGTTTGAAACTAGGAACATACTGTATCAAAAATACCTACTTTACACGTATTTTCAGTCATTTTTCTTGTTTTAATTGTTAACAATTAAAATAAATTGACCGAAATCAGAAAACAAAACAGCAGCAAAACCATAACGGACGTCGACACAGTTAAATACACCGATCGTGCCATAACTTAGACTAACAAAAAATCCACTTTGAGTGTATTTGACTCAAAAAAAAAATCCAAAAAAAATTCTAATTCGTCGGGTGCAATCCGTACATTCAACTCGTGTGACAATTATAAAAAAATTACTTTTTCTCAGTGTTAAGTTATTTAGGTGGTGCAGGCGGATATGCCTGATATGGATCCTCGGGACTAGCCGCATTAGAAGTGTGTTCGGAATCACCCATTGGTACCGTATGGATGACATGTGACGGATAGTACGAATACGGTTGGGAGATGTACGAACCGGTGCCTAATTGCATGGCCTGCATTTGAGCAGTCAACTGTAAATAAAGCATATCCTTGAATTTACTAAAACCGTAGGACCCAGTCGAGAGTCATTTACGACAATCACTTACCTGAGGTATGACGTTGGCGTATTGAACGGCCGCCTCCGGTGATGGCAACATCATGGGGATGCCACGGGGGCCTTGACCGTCGCTTTTGTACGGCGCCATATGACCGGTGAGGTTGTAGCTGTCGTCCACGGGAGGCATCGGGGCTGGCATTACGTACTGCGGCACCCATTGCGCGCTGGGGGCGTAGCCGGCATACTGAAAAAAACAAACATATTTGTACTTTTTTGTGTAGAAAAAATAAGTGTAAACTTTTCTCTTGTTCCTACCCACATGATTATGTGCATTCTTGTTGATTTCTTGCTAAAAATTTGAGCATTTACAAACCTGCAATTTTATGATTTGCTTTCACACTGTTCCACAGTATTTTTCTAAACAAATTTCCAGTTAGTGGTACTGAATTTGTCCTTGTTTTTCTGTTTTAGTCTCAATTTTCTTAGAAGCTTTTTTGCTAACATTTGAAGACTTGTTTTTAAAATATCAAAAACCAGAACTGTCAACTTCTCTGTTAAAACTCACCACAAATAAATTGCTAGAGGTATCAATGTTAAGGCTATTTGATATTTCATTTAAAAAAGGAGACTTTATTGAAAAAATGCAGTTTCTTAATTTCAAAGTACATTCGAAAATGAAAAAAACAGGGTGTCATTAAAAAACAATAACTGACTTTACCAACAACGTAAATTTTGCCTACAGTACTCAAAATTTCAAAACTAACTATAGAGCGTACTATTAATAAATACAAAAACGTATCAATATTTACTATCGTCTAGACTTTATTTGTATATTTGCTTATAAATCAATAAACTTCTGTAAACACGAATTTTCTAATTTTCATTTTGAAAAGAATATTTTGTGTAAATTTTTGTTATTTCTTTATCAAATGATTATAATAGGCCCCCAACAAAAAACAGTATCTGTTTGACGCATTTTTATTTTAGAAAATGTCTACATTATAAAAAATAGTTATTTGTATTACAAGGAAGGAAAGTGTATCTTTTCCTCCCTGAGATTTGTCGAGGGCACTAACCACCATCCAGAGAGAAAAAGCCAAATTTTTATTCAATTTTGATAGATGAGGGAGAAAAACTTTTACTTCCCTGGGAGATAATTGGTCACTTTCCTTTCTGAAATTAGTGTGGAATATCTTACTTTCTGTGATTAGGATCGTAGGAAAAAACATTTACTTTAGTCTAGTGGTCAAAAACACCGACTGCAGTAGAATTCTTTAAAATTTATTACACACAAGGTTCCATAAAATATTGATATTTATTTTTTATTAAATTAAAAAAAAAACCTATGGTGCTATTCTGTAAAAAAAAATACGTGCTATAGCGCTATAACTCTTTAAGCTATCGACTATAAGTAAAAATCAAATTTTCTAAGGAAATATTTCTCTATACCTAAAATTCTATAAGCTTAAAGTCTCTATAAAGTTATGGCGAGAAATTTGTTGACCGTAAAGACTTATTTATAGTCTCTATAACGATATATTGTCATAGTAACAATGTCACTCCTCAATAATTTATTATAAGTACTTCTCTCCGTATTTCGCCAGTGATGCTAATTTTTGTTCTCTTATAATTATTGGTATCGTGTAAAGTTAATAATAAGTACATAGTTCAGTGATGGATCGTAATAATATTGCACTAATTGCATTATATTTATTATTAAATGAAGAAAAAAGAAGGTAATGTTGTGGACAATAATGAGCTTCTTACTACAAAATCTTTAATAAAAAGAGTGTCTATTTAGAAAAAAAGTTATTTTGTAAAAGGTACAAGCAGGTTTTATGAAAATCGGTAATAAATTTTTGTGTAATTTATTAATATGAGCTCAAAGTTGATGCATTTTCTAAATTCTCCTTCGGCTTTAGTTTCAAAATTGTTACTTCTTCAACTCGTTCTTCAAAAACGTTGCAAACAATCCTACTAATTTAATTACGTTTTTTTCTCTTTGATGTTTATGTAGATTCTCATTAATTTCTTACTAAAAATTAGAGAATGTTTAGCAAATTTACATTACAAATTATGTCTAAATTTTAGCGGTAGTCTTTTTCTGACTTTTCGTCTTCAAATTTCCAAAAACTGTTCGCGATACTCAATTGGTTCCCGTTTTTGTGTTTTCATTTCTAAATTTTCTTAGACGATTTTTTTGTTGAATGCCATTTTTTATTAATTAAATTAAAAACTGGAACTGCCAACATCCAAAAATTACCATGAATAAATTTGTTAAGACTGTTTGACATTTCCACTTAATAAAAAACAGACTTTAGGGTAATTACAGCGCTATAACTTGAATGTTTACATAGATGCTTAGAGAATACCAATTTTGATACGATTCTATAAGGACTTTAAAAAATTTATATACAGAGCTCTATTAGCTATGGAATACTAGTTTTGGATTGTTACAAATTATTTTTTTCTATACTTTCATTAATTAATTTATAACAGCTGATGTTGCAGACAAAATTCTTAATTTTCCTATAAAAACTCAAATCCGAAAAAAATTATCAAAACGTATGCATTTTAAAACTAATTCTAATTTTAATAAATGAAAATAAGTTTTATCTTTTATTAATGTAAACTTATTCTCTTTCCTCAAAAGTGACGCTGTATTCCCTCGTTTTTAACTAATAATCTGGTACTTTATTATTTCATGAATAAAATAAATGAAATACTGATTTTTACTAGAATCAACTGGTTGGTATTCAATGAATCAAATCTTTTGAGTGTTTTTTTGACATAAACAGACTCCTTGATACCGAATTAATAAACTGAATATTTTGACAAATTATTTAATATTATGTTTTATTAATTTAGTCTGTTGAGAAGTAAGTTTTGTAGGCACCTTTGGAATAATAAGCATCGTCAATCTCTCGAACGAAAATGCCCTCGGCTCTCTTTGGTCGCCTCTGGCATTATCTAGATTCTCGGTATTAAAATAGCTGTTTATTAGCTTGATATATAAACAACTACATATTCTAATATATTTTTTTTTATTATGTTTGGACACAATTAAATCTTAACAAAATCCTTTAGCCATGAAAAAAAGTCAGTTTTTTTCAATTTTTGGACCAAAAAACACAAATGTAGTAAACGTTATTACTGTGTAAACAAAAAAAAAAAAGATAAGAGGATTATAGCGCTGACGTCTAGTCCGGGTTTTCCCCTATCTAAATTTTAAGACCCGGTTTTTACATTAGATAAATTTATTGTTTCGATTGTTACCTGATTAGATCTGATTGATATTTCTATAGCAATTAAAGAACCAATAGAATTTATTTAACGATAAATTGTTTCAGGAAACGAAATTAAGCCGAGTAAGTGATTTGTGGGTAATTACCTGTCCGTAGGGTGCCCTGAAGTTGGATATGGCCGCCGGTATCATATGCTGCGCCGCGACGCCGTTTTGTGCCAACGTATTCGGATCGTAGCCGGCGACAGCCATGCCTTCGGTGCCGTCACGCCACATTTTCGCATTCTCATTATTCTTATACATATTTTTCTTTTTATTGCCACCGTCGGCGAACTTGACCAATAGGGGTTCTTTACAGCCGGCCAACGTATTCCCATTGAATATCGTTATAATCTGTTCGCATTTATCTTTGTTTTCCATGCGTGCAAAACCGACACCTTTCGAAATTCCCATTGAATCGCGAAGGATCCTCGTTGATATCACCTGACCGTATTTCGACAAGAGATTGTCCAAGTCTGATTCTTTAAAATGAGAGGGCAGATTAGCTATGTACAAATTGGTGGGGTCTTGCTCTTGTTGCTAGAAAAAAAAAACAAAAATAGAAAAAACAATTAATGAATAAAGGGTGCAACACAGATTGAGTCATTTCTGATTCTTTTTTAAGGCCGGGTTTTGTTACAATTACGACAGACAGATAGCGTCGGTCAAAAATAACCCAAACTTATTTCACAGTGAGTCTGATATAAGTTTATATTGTTAGTTAGAGGGAAATAAGTGCCACAATCCACAATTAGATGTTTCAACTGTACAAAAAATGCAATATATTGTTATATTTTTATACAGCATGCAACCAAATTTTATTGAAGTCATTTATAATCAAAAATCTGTTCCATGGATTTGTTATAACCAAGCACAGCATCCATGAAACAAACCTACTCTCTATGTATGCATATTTTACAGTGCCCATACTAATAATAATAATAATATTTTCAAAAAAATTACATCGTGACTGCAGGCAGTTTTATATATTTTTAATTGGGATATTGGGGCATCATAAACCTGGAAAAATCATGCAACTATGCATAGCACATGACAAGTTCTAAACTACCAGTAATAACATAAAATCAATTACAAAAAAAATAAAAAAAGAACTAAAATCAAATCTAGTGACTTTTTGTATTTTTCTCTGTGTGAAACAATGCATGGCCAGTCCTCGACACTAGAGTTGAGTTTTGTTATTGATTTGCTCTGTCACAGCTAGAATTTACGCGAAAAAACTACGTTTCACACGATCGTTAAAAACGAGGCCAATGGTGAGTATATTTTCAGAAGAAAAAAGATTTGTTATAAATACGTACTAGGAAATGTACTTTATACGACTGATTTGACCTCGCGACGCCATTTAAGGGTGGAGAGAACAAACAAAAGAATGTTTATGCAACAAATGACTAACAAAGTTTTTTTGAGTAAAATTCTATTTTGTTAATTACAAGCCAGTTTGTAGTTACTTAGTTAACTAAAACTGTCCTGATTGTTTTTCTCATTTTAATGGAATTCTTCTTCGCCCACCCTTAAAGGCTATTATAAATTTCGGAAAAAATCGCTGTGAGAGAACTTGTAGGTAAAGCTAGGTATTACTTGCATGCAAACGTACAGTGGCTTGTCTACGCTGATGATACCATATACCCACTTTCGCCATTTGAGCCTGTATGTTATTTGCAGTAAGAGCCTTGACTGCACCCTCTGCTGCCGACGGACTTTCAAAATCAACAAATCCATAACCTATCAAAATTTCTTTTAATAAAACATTTATAAATGACAATACAATCTCACCTTTACATTTGTTTGTCGTCTTGTCCAATATGGCTTTGGTGGATATAATGGTACCGAACCTTGAAGAGAAAAAAAGAAAAAATGGGATCAAATCGGAGGCGTTTCCAGCCACTCGTGCGACTTACTGCTGGCACATGTTGACAAGATCCTTGTCAGTGGTAGTCGGATTCAGTCCTCTTATGTACAAATTGGTTTTGGACAGTTGTTCTGAACCGGAAGAACTGTTTGGCGATGAGTTCGTGTTGTTGGGCATGTTGTTACTAACTGATGTGGATACAGTGCCGCTTTGACTGCCCGTGTGACTGCTCGAGCTACTCGTATTGGATGGCGACGTGGCCGTTGGCACTCTCTGATTTCCGTACTGTATCGAAAAAATATATATATATTAGTTTTCTTCGCCCGGCGCCTCCACCAAAACCACTCACCGAGTTCGAAGAGTTATAAGTGGTGGTGGTGGGCGTGTAGGAGGCCTGTTGTTGTTGCTGTTGCTGTTGCGTGACGGTGGAAACCGCCGCCGGCGTCGAAGCTGCGGCCGCCGTTTGACTCACCGGATATCTCTGATAGTACGTGGTGCTTCCTGTTGTTGGATGGCCGTGCTGGTGGCCGCCGCCGACGCCGCCCCACTGGCGGTAGGCCCCCGTTGTTTGGTGCRGGGTGGCCATGGGCGCACCGCCGCCACCGCCGCCCTTCACGCCGCCGAACGACGCTGTCCTCGATCCGCCGCCGCCTCCGTTACTATTCTACAAAAATAACACAATTATTATCCAGTGATTCACATTCGACTGTTTATTTTTAAACCACGACGAAAAAATTTCATTTGTTTAGATGCGGGATAATGCTCTTGAGCCAACTTTGGCACAAAGGCTGAGAAAACGCAACAAAGGAAACAGAAAGTGAGGCAATGCCTCATCGATTGTGATTATCTAGGAAACCGATTTCGAAATTATGCAGTGACGAATTTGTGTGATTTCTTATTTCCTCTTACTGTAACAGCCTTCTTTACACGATTCATTATTTTTGATAATCTCCTAGTAATAGTTATTTATGTATCAAAAAATAAACAAGCCGAAATTAGGGATTAACGATGATTATTCCAGAGATGCATATAAAACTTTCCTCCCAACAAACTAAATTCATAATAATACATATACAGGCTGTTTCAAAACTCGCACCCCAGAGAAGAATTCTAAGTAAGATAAGAACATAGAAAAATGTTTAAAAAACTCTATTGGACAAAAAAATTTGATATTGATTTTTTGACATTTGACATTTTTTGTATCTATTTAATGTTACTAATGATCTTGTTATGTTTTTTTATAATTATTTAGTAATGGTACAAAATTTTAGCCAACAGAAGCCACAAATAACGTTAAACATATTTACAATTTAGGATACAGCTTGCTTGTTTTCTCTTCTAATAGCCTGTAGTAAAAAACTTGCAAAATCATTTTTCCAACAAAAATAAGTAGTCAATTTAAACTTCCATAATTTAAAAAGTTTTATAGATAAAATTTCTTAAACATTTTTTCCAGGTATCTTACCTTACATCACTTTTCCTGCCTCAGAAGGCAGAAGTTCTGAAACATCTGTATATAAAAAATAATAAATTTGTCAAATGTCAAATAATTTGTTAAAACGTGTATTCAGTTTATTCAAGCGTCACTTTATTCCCTATTGGAAGGAAACGTTTCACAACAATTCAAACGTTATTTGAGTCACTCTAGATGATCTAAACGATCCAGAATGTTATTTTTCTGCATGACTCTTTCTTCCATTGACCTCTGACAATTCCCAATACAAACAAAGAAAACACAAAATTATGAAAAGCGACCTTTCAACCTAAACACCTTATCACATCAACGACAGATAAACTAAGCTTCATAAACAAAGCGTTTTATTATTCGCATTTTGTTACAAAACACCAAAACAATAATTTACCTCCATGAAAGAAAAATCAAATAGAGGGTCCAACATCACTGAAACACATCCAAACAGAAAGAAAAAAAACTTATTGTTGTGTGTGTGAAACTTTTTCAATTTCGCACGTATGCACTAAATGACTAACCATCAACTAAGCGATCTGTCATGATGGTAGGTGTGAACGCACCTTAACGACGTCGTGACGTTACTAAACGTCGCCGCTTTTGTGATGATAAGATTATTGTGGGTGTTTGGTGGAAGGGATGATGAATCACTGATTAAGAAAAAAATTTCTTCCAACTGATAAAACGACCTTGACAGTGTCTATATTTTGTTTTTTTGCAAACGGCTTAGCAAATGTAGGTCTAGGTTGTCGACGTTCCTGGTGATGGGAACGACGTTCCACTTACATGCCAATTGACGGAGATAACGACTCGGAAACGGATGTTAATTAGTTTCTTTCAGAGATAACCTGGAATTTATTAATGCAAAGTCCGAAATTGATGATAACGATCGAAAATAGCAACGATTCGGAAAAATTTCTAGATTGTATGTATACTTGTATGAGAAAATTTTCAAGAATGTAGCAATGTTTGAGAGCAAATAAGACTCGCTTTTGGCATTTCCTACCGTCGATTCACATTACTTTTTCCAGCAATAACGATAAAGATATCGACCTAGATTTGTTATTGTTTGAACTAGAAGACAGTGAATAATCCAATAAATCAATCAATGTTTCACAACTTTGTACATTTTCCCCCAACTGTCTCCAATATTGTGAATTTTCAATAAATTTAAATTATCGTAAATAACATCTTATCTTGCAATAATATCTTTTCAAAACAAATTCATGATTGGTGAATTGGTGGCAATAAAAAATTGAAGCAATATTTTTAAAACCACTAAAACAGTGTTTAAAACCCATTTTCTTTCAATAAATCAGTTTCTTCTCTTAATTTCCATTTTTCCGGAAGTCCGTTACTGGAGTGTCGCACGTCAAGGTGAAGTGCACCATGTTAATGTGTCAATGGTAAAGAGCGACCGGTCACGTGAGTCTCGTAGAAAGCCTCTCTCTGCGGCCCCGTTCACTTGCCGCTGCATCCGGGAGCAGCAAACTCTCGGACATGCAAGTCGTGATTGCATCCGACCCTCCCCATGGGAAGAAGAAAGAAAAAAAAAAACCGGAACCGCGAAAAAAAATTCTACTCAAATCAGGATCAAACCCATCATCATCATCAAGAGTTGCGCATTCCAATGGCGGCCATGCCGTGATGGAATGCATTTCAATGCCGCCACGGTCGCAGGAGGAATCGCAAGAGCTTCGAAATGTGGGTTAGTAGAGGTCACTAACTCGACAAGAAGTTACATTCAAGATGAGCGAAATTATTATTTTATAGCAGGTGAGAAATGATCTCAGCGGTCATCTATGGGAACGACGACGTGATTTTTGTCAAAAGAATTTTTCGTGGACTCAATGGGAGCCTACTTCGGGTCCGTCGACCCCCTCAAGGTCACAGCACGTCTGCGAAGCCATGCGAAACATTCAAATTAAAACCACCGCTTCGAGTTCCTTCATCTAATTCGATCTTGATCTACTTTCTTCTGAGAAAAAAATCTGCGATCGAGAGAAATTCGCATTGTTACAAATTCGATGAAACTGGAAAAATCCGATAAAAATGGACCATGCCGAAATATTTACGTTTTTAAAGAAAAAAAATTAATGTCTAGAGACTCTTTGAATGTGTTTGCTTTTCACAAAAACTAAATAAAACAAATATCTATACCACAAAACTCAAAATTTCTCATGCTTTTTGCGTTTAAGGGTTACAGTTCTTCCAGCAAAGACAGACTTTAGGAATCATAAAAAACCTTAAAATTATTAATAAACAGAAAGAATAGTGATTTGTTAAACATATTTTTTTTACATAGAAGTATGGAAGCTGTTTCTTTTGTTACACTGAAGACCAAAGGCCTGCGAACAACATTTTTATAAAAAAAAGTCTCAAGATGCACAAACTCTCAAACTCAAACCCATTCAGAAAAAAATTATAGACTTAATTGGCGTTAACATTCGTTAAACTAATACTGCACAAAACCAGAAAACATAACTTTAATTGAAATTCTTAACGTCATAACTAGTTCCGGACGATAATTTCGCTCATTATTTTTTTTAAATTAAAGCAAAATTTAACAGTAATTTATCTAATACACCTTAAAACAAGTAATCATGTTAAAATGTCCACTTTTATTTGTCGTCTTTTATACATTTAAGGCCATCTATTTGTGTACCCAATACTCGTCGGAATCACTCATTGAATATAAAAAGAGTTCAATAAAACTTTAACCAAATTGAAATTTTAGTCCAGTTTCAAAAATGTTGATCTTGTGCCAAAAGCTTTGATTTTAGAACGTAAGAAATCTCAAAGATGACCTAGGCCAACGTCGAAAAACCCTAATAAGATGTCAATCAAGCCTAAAAAAGGCTTTTTTCACCCCCTTTCCGTCGATTTAATTCGCTTTTTCTGTCTCATAACTCGATTATAGTCGACACGCACACGCAGATAAAATAAAACCCGAGTAAATAACTTTAATGGGAAAGTCATCGACCGAATAATAATATAGAGAGTCGAAAAATGAAGAAAGAGATAAATCTATAAATAACCCGTGCGCGGAGCAGGTAAATAATGCACTCACACACACTAAAAACAGTTCATGGCCTCACCTAGTCCTTATTACACTGCAAAAATTAAACAACCGGCACATATCACATATGAAAAATCTCAGAGCGACGCGACAAAACAAAACACTAGCACATAAACATATGACACACATGCACAGATCACATGACTAAAACTCGAAGGTTGGTGAGGCACTGAAAGCCGCCGCTTGACTGAATTATCTATGTATCTTCTAAGCCAACCGCGATGCAGCACCAACACCAGCAGGTTCACAGCCGGTCAAAGAGGACCTCTCGAAAATTTTTGCGTCGACTCCACCATCACACAAAACTAACCTTTCCGAACATGTGTGTCACTTACTGTAATTCAACATTCTTAACATTCCGTGCCTAAGAAAGACTCTTCTACATCCATCGCGACCTTCCACTCGATATGGTAAATGTACCCAAGGCCAACCGGATTACTCACTTCACACAATATGGTGGTGGTTGTGCGAGGGTGTGTGAAAGTAACGAAATATTTCGATAGAAAACGAAAAGAAGAAGTCACCAAATCCGTAATATTTGCACCTTGCAAATGTTAACGAGACGACCCGGATGCGACTCTAGAAACTACGCCTTAGGCCGTAAGAGGACTTAATTGCGGCGAACGAAGAAACGAGATCGACGGCGATTTTGACTTTGCTATTTCTTCCTTCCTGTGTTAAAGATTCACCGTTAAACTTCCTTCCTCTCCGGTTATCGAACCGGACGAAATGATTCACCCAATAAAAAAAAACAGAAAAATTCATTATTCGTTATCGCTGACCTAAGCGTTTGTTGATTCCAAACGACTTAATCTGTTGAAGTTTTGGCACCAAATCCAAAAAAAAATCCACTATCAAAAATATTATTTCAGGCCATGATATTGCGTAACTTTAATAGAATTAAGACTGATGCAATACGATTTATACGAAAGACTGTGTTAAACGAGTAAAGTCCGTCCATAAATTTAGTTCTAGGATGCTCACAGAATAATTATATCCAGCTTCACTAATCTGGATCCAGTTGAGCTCCAGATATACAGAGTGAAAATAAATTATGGAACCAAGCGGCTTTTGCATCCAGAAAATGATAATTAATATAAATTAAAGTAATATAAAA